GCCAATAGCAATTCTTTACTCCTATAGATCATGTACGCGTAATATTTGCAAAACCATGACTTTATCAATTTTGAACTTTCCAAATAAGTGTGCTGGAAAAGAATAGCAACTTGTTTGCCAGTCAAATTTTGGGAATTGTTTCAGTGTCAAATATGATGTTTATAAAAAAGCTCAATTGCTTTACAAACTGCTGTTGCATATTGAAAAAATATTTTTATTTAGGCAATTAGCTACTTGGTGCAGTTGAAAGTGATGATCTATGAGTAAAAATGATATAAAACCATTCAAAGCTAAAATATATTCTAGCGAGCCTGTTTTGCAGCAGTTAAGCAAGCTTGAATCATGAATGTTTTTTTTTTGTTCTTGAGGTTCACAAAGACTATTGGACAAAGAAGTGGGATTTTTCTATTTAACATTCTTTTCTTCGTCTTTTGGGCATTATCCATAAATGACTTAAGTCATTTCTTTATAAATGTTCGATAAATGTTTTGCCCTCACCCATTTTATTTTTACCTACATCTGCATTCTGCCATATATGTTTGTGTATTGTAACTGTACCGCCAATCACACGATATAAAAGATCAATATTTTGAAACATTAAGTATAATTATATGACTTAATTTTCCATCTTGAGCCTTAGAATCAACTTCAAACGTCCATATCTCCAAACACTCTTAGTTCTTGAGGTTAACATTTCGTGCCACAGTTGTTCTTTATGCCATGTTTTTTTGTTTAGGATCAAATTGATGATGATGAATTAGTTATATGCTCAAAATACAAAACTGTATTATTGCCTCTTCACATACAATGAATTAAAGATGGACTGTCTTCGGATTTTGTTTAAACTTAGCATATTGTATATTAGCTTCCACTGCAACTAGCTCAATAATCTTGCATCGAGATTAGCAGCCATTCTGCAAGCAATAAAGTCAATGATAAGTTAACCACACCTTCCTACAGTTGTAGATTTAATATTTATACGGGCTCTCTCAAAAAACCGCTCATCTTCGAAATTAGTCGAAATTCATTCAGAAATAATATATCCCCAAGGAGCAATAAAATTGTAAAAAAACGTGTATTTTTGTATTTGAGATGAAGGTTAACTGAGAAAAACATGTTATGCTTCAGCCCATGTTTAATTAGAAAATAAAATTACCTCAGGGGCTGTTTACATGAGCCCGGTAATCGGGATTAGGCGAGGCGTTAAATGAATTTGAAGTCATTAAAAAGAGCAAAAACTTAAAGCGCAAAACTTACAACCATTTCTTAAGCGTCATAAGTCATTTTAGTTTTAATTTTTAAATCAGGCTAAATTATTTGTTTTCATTTTAAAGGTTTTGTGAATTTGTAGATTCAGAGCATAGAGAATTTCCTCAAACAAGTTTCTCGTTGTGAAGTATTTAATCTTTTCCATTTGCCAAAATGATTTAACGCTTCGCAGAATCCCGGCTACCGTGCTCATGTAATCAGACCCTCGAAACTGAATTGCAATTCGGAAAGAAAAACTTCTAATTAATATTTAAGTTACACGCCAGTCTCAATAAATTTCGACCATTAATATATTCTTCAGTTACGATGCCGCCATGTTGGAGGTGAAATACAAAAGAATACAACCGTTGAGAGAACGTTATTGTTTTTTATTGCCCCTTTGATTGATTGAAATTGAAACCAACAATTCTTGAGTTTTGATTCCGCCATGTTGGAGATCACAAGAATATATTATGATTATCAATGCTATTGCACTACTACGTATCCAATCTTCTTATCTCATCTTAGTATTTACTTGTATAATATAAAGTTTTATATGACATATTAACGACACAGAAAATGTCTAATTTAAATGGCGAAATTATTTAAATATTTCCCAGAATTAGCAATTGAAAACTGTTAAAAAGACCTAGTCGAAGCGTTTGACATATTTTAGCGAATTCCATAAGCAAAATGCTAAAAACAATCAAAGATAAAATACATTCTAGTTATTTCGTAGAGCCTGTTTACAACAGTAAAACAAGCTTGCTTGAAAGTTTATTTTTTTGTTCTTGAGGTTACGAAGACAAAAAAGTCAGATTATTCTATGCAATCTTCATTTGTTCTTCTTTCAGCTTATTTAAGTCATATCCTTGTGTTTATCTCAGTGCTAATGATGCATATGTTTCTTGCCTTTCGTTTTGTCTTTGCTTCTGCTTATTTCACTCGTGTGAATCACAAAATCAAATACTCTACTGAACAAATACTTTTTGGTATCTCGAATCACTTGAATTTCTCCTATTTTTGTTCAGCATTCTCACCAATATACACATTATTTTTCTATCCAATAATCCATAAATCAGAGGATTTGACGAGTGTGAGCCAATAATACGGAGGGAAAAAGCAATTTTTAAATTAGTTGAGGCATTTGGTGAAAAAGCGTTGTGGTTTTTAAATTCGTTTGCAGCCAAATAATAAATATGACCGACTGCAAAGCAGAGAACCGTGCAGACGCAAACGAAAAATGTCTTACGATCCTGATTGTGTCTTTGAAGACTTGAGCTGGTGAAGGATTTTAGACGAGACTGTGATGCATTCGAAAATGTTCTTAGTACTTTTCTTTGTTTGCTCAATGTTCTAGCGATTATGGAGTAAGTCACAGACATGAATATTATTGGAAAAATGTAGAAACAGGCATAAAACGCAGACAATTCGTAAATGTAACGAAGGCGTTTAGGATCCATACTCTCGAGGATGCACTCTCGCATTGTCATTCCAACAGTTGTGACCAAACCAATGATGTACGCTAAACCATAAACGATTTTATCTTCAGTTGACTGAGAGAAAGTTTCAATGGACAAACTATCGCACGATAACGTAGAACGGAAATGAGCATCATGATACAAACTCCGCTTACTTGAAAGAAAAATAAATGTCATTTATACTAAGCAGTTAAACAATATTAAAGCGCTTTTAAGAAAGTTATCCAATATCAAATGGAGAAATATGCTCAACATTGTAAATACGTCACATATCGCAAGATGTAAGACAAGAAAGTAGTAGTTCTTCTTTAACAAAATCTTTCTTTTTAATATCGAAGCGATCACAAGGGTATTTCCAACGATGCCAAATGAAGATATTGCGACAATGAAAAATATAAAAGTTTCCATAGCGATAAGATTGATATATCTGAGCTACTTTCTATGAAGTGCTCTTCTCTCCTATATATTCCACTTTGCAAATGCAATACAGAGCTGTGTGTTCAAGCTTTTCAGTGAGTCTCAAAACTCGATAAAAATTTTGCCTTGTTGCATTTTTTTTCCAACTACATCTGCATTATACGTCAGTATATTGTAATTGTGCTTGAAATGTGCGTTAACATGGACTATTAAAATTCACAAAAGCTCGTTATAAATTTACATAAGCCAGCGACAAAGAGCGTTATCGCTTTTCGCAGTAATTCCTTTTCCAGCGAATAAACGCCGCATCGCAGCTGTGTCAAGCACATTTTCAAAAACAAAACAAACGCAAAACCAATTAGGTTTGCCATTTTATAGGACGAGAAGTCATAATTGCACTACTAATTTGGACTAAATTAAAGTATTTAAAACTGTCGATGATCTAACGAATCAAACGTTGAAATTGACAAATTTGCGGCAAATGACTTTTTTGCAACAATTTAATTCAATGAAGAATTTATCGCTCACGAAAATGTCTCCATATGTAGAGATTTTCGAATATCTTATATTTAAGGTATTCCGTCTCTACAGGGTGTCTCAAAAACTGCTCATGCAGCCGGCGTTTTACAATTAGCATGATTTAGCAGTAATTGACCTCCAAAATATCTTCAAAGGTATTTGAAAACAATAATACATACGAATTGCGACAACTGTTCATTGCAAGTTTCAAGCACGAAATTCATTTCAATAGCATCTATGCCTCTTTGGGGATTAGAAATTAGCTACTGAATCATGCAAATTCTAAATGTTGGCTGATTTTAAAGATGAGCAGTTCTTCTGAGACGGCTGTAGTTCGCTGAAAATTTTGACGACCATATTCATATATTTGATCGGCGCATTTCACTTGCTGCACCACAGGACATCTAACCTCCTGTTTGCGTTCCTCATACTAAATATTGTCTCGCTGATTGTGTCGAAGATTTACAAAAGAATAAGATAGATAATTTTACGTGTCTAAAAATACATGAAAATAAAAACTACGACTTTGGAAATCGACAACGAAGTTCAGTGGAATTATTAGTCATTAATTTCGGTTTGGAAAACGAAAATGCCGATTTTGGCAGCATTTACACTTTGAGAACTACAAGAACCTTGACTTTTACAAAGATTTTCGGAGACAACACGGAGCACAGCACATTTGCCGCCATTTTGAATTTTTTAAAACGTGTCCTTGAATTGGACATCTACTTGCATCATTGTTGTTATTGAAGCAATGGTTCTTTTAGAGTTTTCAATGGTTTTCAATCATACCACCCACCCCAGCTATGTAAGCATTACAATTAATGGCTAGCAGGAATTGGGTATGAAGAACGGTAATCAAACTGTTCGTTAAAATTGATCTGACATTCAAAGCCACAAAGCCAAAGTCCTAAGTCATGAGCAAAAATTCGCGCAGGTTAGTGTACCGCGTGACTAAGACCGTCGTCAAGAGTTGTGGGTTAGAAAGAGAAATAACGGACAACAGCTGATTGATTTTATTTGTCCTATACGGTTGTGCAAAAAATTTCTTTGAATGTAATTTCCACGCATTCTAAAAGATCAACTCGAAAACATTTTCTAACAAAAACCATTTTAACGTGGTAATGACAAAAGCTTTGAGGAGCCCCTCCCACCCCGCCCCCAAAACAATATCAAACTATCATGGATTCATGATAGTGGACGATTCCCCACTCACCAATCCCTTTCTCCGTAAGACAACGTACGCTTCAACAGAAGGTTGTAAACAGAATAAGTTTCAGTTTCAAATAAATGAAACAAGGAATTGATATTTCACTAAAAAAGCAGAGTCCTTCATCATTTTTCTTATATACATATTAAATCATTCTTGGTTTGATAAAGCAGCTAATGATTATACAGAGTTATCATTCGGTGGCGAATCTAGGGTAGATCAACACATTATGCAAATCTACAATTGAAAATACTTCGAAAACGACGTTGTTGGTTAGAAATTTCTAAACATAAAAATAATGCCAACGTGACTCATTGTAAATTATTTTTGATTGGAAAAAATACTAACAGTAATATAAATTTCGACCTTTCCAGGTTCGGAACTGTTACCACCTTTCCTAGCATTCATTATATTATTTGGCCATTTCGAAGAAATTTCGAAACAGCAGATTTCTAATGCAAAATAGTCTGAGCGAGCTTACAAGTTTTGGGCAAGTTACAAAATCATAAGAATACTTAGGCCATGTGCGAAGCACGTGCGTTTTATACCCTTCACAACCCACACGTGGATTGTATTACCCAACAAGGATAATTGAATTTTTTCCCTCCTTCAGCTTACATCTGGGGAACTTACGTATCATACTTTTCCCACAGCGGCGACCAGTTCTTTCGCCAAAATTGAATTGATTGTCATTTTTTCGCAATTCACCGTAATCCTACTCTCTTTTCCATACTCCTTAAGTTCGACAGTTATCAATACGGGGACCCCGGATGAAGTAGCCGACCCAGAAAACCTATAATAATTTAAGCTGCTATTTCTGGGTAATGCCGCTACACTCGCACAACCCAGGATTTTCGACGCGAGCACGCGTTCCTCGCAGTTCTCCTGCGGGATATCCACAGTCAGAGAGCTTTCATTCATACCCGACAACTTCTCTGTGAACGAAGATAATTTAAGGTAAGTCAATATTTCTGTAATAATTTCATTTTACATGCATTTGTATAAGCAAGATAAAAATTTATAACCGCGATAATTGCTTTGCAAAGTAAGAAAGTCATTTTCCGTTATCGGCCTCGTGTGAAGCTGTTCTCCCATCGGGCATTTCAATTTGACAGTAAACTTATCGGACTTCGTGCTGGTGAAAAAGCGAGATCAATTTGAACGCATGATAAAGTTTTGCTGCTAGGTATTCTAAATTATCCTCTTATGTTAAAGCTTGGTTCCTTATATACACCAGTCTAGTGTCTTCATTTGGAGAGATATGTTGAGTCCTTATGAGTTATCTGATGTTGAAACTTGAGTTCTTATAAACTCCAGTCTAGTGTCCTCATCAGGCGTGACGTAATGTTGAAACTTGAGTTTTTATAAACTCCAGTCTAGTGTCCTCATCAGGAGTGACGCAATGTTGAAACTTGAGTTCTTATAAACTTCAGTCTAGTGTTCTCATCAGGAGTGACGTAATGTTGAAACTTGAGTTCTTATAAACTCCAGTCTAGTGTTCTCATCAGGAGTGACGTAATGTTGAAACTTGAGTTCTTATAAACTCCAGTCTAGTGTTCTCATCAGGAGTGACGTAATGTTGAAACTTGAGTTCTTATAAACTCCAGTCTAGTGTTCTCATCAGGAGTGACGTAATGTTGAAACTTGAGTTCTTATAAACTCCAGTCTAGTGTTCTCATCAGGAGTGACGTAATGTTGAAACTTGAGTTCTTATAAACTCCAGTCTAGTGTTCTCATCAGGAGTGACGTAATGTTGAAACTTGAGTTCTTATAAACTCCAGTCTAGTGTTCTCATCAGGAGTGACGTAATGTTGAAACTTGAGTTCTTATAAACTCCAGTCTAGTGTTCTCATCAGGAGTGACGTAATGTTGAAACTTGAGTTCTTATAAACTCCAGTCTAGTGTTCTCATCAGGAGTGACGTAATGTTGAAACTTGAGTTCTTATAAACTCCAGTCTAGTGTCCTCATCAAGAGTGACGTAATGTTGAAACTAGAGTTTATATACTCCAATCGAGTCGAGATATACACATTGACTTGTTTCTTATGCTAAATCCAATGACTTTAACGGAAATATTTTGATGATAAAAGATAATTAATAATTGATAAAACAGTAACGCGACATACCATATCTCAAAACTAACTGGTTGTATAGTATCCTTAAAATCTATCCCCATGCTCACGGTGACTGTAGAACCAATACCGATCGATTCTAAACAAGAGCAAAGCAACCCCATCCCAATTATTCACAGGTGATTTGCAGGTTAATATTTTTTCTAAGCAGACAACTCACCAATCTTAGGAAAATCGGCTATATTCAAGCCGAGTCCCACTTTCTAAGACGAGAAAACAAACAGAGTCTCAGTAAGCGCATTTCTACTAACGACTATGACTTACAATGCAATTTACCTTCTCGCCAACGTGAATGTTTTCAACACATGAACTGCCGCTGTTAGTAAAAGTTATTTCAACGGCGACCATCGTAGTCGAATACAGACACGGACTCCGGGGGAACTTGTATTGAGCCTGCAATCCACGACCAGCCATCTTATTGAGCAGTTCATAAGTCCTCAATTGAGAGAAGTCCGTTACGACCTACATGAGAAAGTCGGCTTGAGCATGATTTGATCACGTGTCATGTCATGCGCAATTCAAGTAGGCGATTGACTGTGTTGCTATTCATCTGTAGCCTTTCATTGTTATATCAGTTGAAAAGGACCTCGTCCTTAATCTAGAGCATGCGCATTGAATACTTAAGTCATCGATGTACCTTTTGCACAACCGCAGCAACTCCATTCTGTACGACACCAAGGGAAAGTGTTTTCATATCGTCCACCAGCGAGGGGGAAAGAATGTTCTTATGTGCAGGACCATTTACAACAGGAGCCACAGGAACTATTTAAAATATTAAAGTATTTCGTATCGAGGAAAAAAATCAATTGGATTGGTGATTTCAGTGCCACAAGTTAAGCCGTTAAAGAGTGAGCTTACTATCTTCATCAAACGAAAGCAATTGATCAGTTGTTGGTGGCTTAGAAACTCGTCTATTCTTCGGAGCATCATCGGATTTCTTCGTTTCGACCTTAATTTACAGAATATTGTGATTAATAATTGCAGTTCATATGTGAAAAGCTGATTTATTTTAAACAGTGGTATACATATCCTTTGAAAGTGTGCACAGTAATTTATCTCACTTTTTTCGCTGGCGTTTCTTGTTTAGCATCGTCACTCTCCTGTGACAAATCGCTTTCCGAGGATTCGGCGTCGCTATCCGAAGACTCTTCACTCGTTTTCGACTCGATGCTGCTCTGACTTTCTGATTTTTTTCGACTCTTTGCTCTTTCATTCTTTACCCCTTCGTCGTCGCTCTCTTGGCTTTCTGAAAAGCGGAATTGAATGACAAAAACTGAGGAGGGGGGAGGTAATGGAGGAAAGTGAATGGCGCGAACGCTTTTAAACGCATGACGTTTTGCAAGAGATTTTTTATTTATTTATTCCTTAATCAAGCTTTGGCACAAGTCTATATCACATACTATGGAGTAGACTTATGTTTATCCGACAGGAAGAAAACAGATTTTCCCTGGGGGATTGCATTAATGTGCTGGCAAAGGTTTCCCGGAGCCCGGGGCTTTGCATTATGAAGTTGTAAATAAGTTAAACCCTTATACTAAGTCTAACTGTTTGTCATTTTCAAGCGCACGATATTATAGTAGCCATTTCAAATTCTGGTGTGAAATACGTACAATAGGGTTCATTGGGTACATTTCTACACTGCACCATCATGTAAACACAAAATGAGGTCTTGTCATGAGTAAACTATGTGACCATACATGCCAAAGACAAGGTCAAACTACGAAAACTTGAGGCGGGAACATTGCTTAAGTAAATATTTAATCAGAAGAGCCATACAGCAATACACCATTAATGTACCCCACCATTCGTAGGAAGGGAGGATTGTTTTCTGTCAATACGTATATTGCCCGAGGAGCCATGCGGCAATACACCATTAATGTACCCCACCATTCGTAGGGAAGGGAGGATTGTTTTCTGTCAATACGTATATTGCCCGAGGAGCCATGCGGCAATACACCATTAATGTACCCCACCATTCGTTGGGAAGGGAGGATTGTTTTCTGTCAATACGTATATTGCCTGAGGAGCCATGCGGCAATACACCATTAATGTACCCCACCATTCGTAGGGAAGGGAGGATTGTTTTCTGTCAATACGTATATTGCCCGAGGAGCCATGCGGCAATACACCATTAATATACCCCACCATTCGTAGGGAAGGGAGGATTGTTTTCTGTCAATACGTATATTGCCCGAGGAGCCATGCGGCAATACACCATCGCGAAAACCCCGGTATGTGTAGGCAAATATTGTGCTGGTAGCGATCTATATTTTCTATGACTGTGAATATAACGGTACTATAGATATCAATTTTAACAGCATACCACGTGATCTCTTACCTGTTTCCGATCCAGGTAAAGACTCCATGCTAGATTTACTGACGCTCTCGCTGCCTTCATCGCTCTCACTTTCACTTCCGCTGCTTCCACTTGAACCGGAGCCTGTGGGAACACGATGCAAAAATAGGCACGCAGTGCGTACAAAAGGTAGCCTTGCTTAACACAAATGATTTATTCAGCCAAACTGTGCATATTTGGTTATATATATATAAGCTTGAAGATTGGTAACCAAAGCATTATTGTTGAAATTAAATAAACTTAATTACGCGTCCAATAGGAAAAGACTTGGAGGAAGAACGCACCTGATTCAGATTCCGACGCAGAGTCGGATTCAGATTCACTTGAGTAAAATGTAGACTTTTTCTTTGATCTTGACTTCGATTTAGATTTCTCCCACAACGGCTCGACCTACATAAACATATCGATAAAATGTTGAATCACACAATCAAAACATAATCATGGGATATGAACGATCACAAACCTCGACGTTTCTAACAGAGGGATCGGGAGGGACCTCGGGGTATTCGGGAAGTTCTTGATAGCCAGACGCTCGTGCGTTTATGAGATGAGAGAGAGCCGACGATGAACTCACCATGACCTTATAGAGAAGAACATTAGCTGCATGGATTGACACTAGATACTACAGCATATACAGAGACCTAAGAGGCAATGCTTGATCTTTCCTAATAAAGATACTAGACAACTCAAGTTTCAACATCACTACTAATGAAGAGACTAAACTGAGATACATAAAGACTCAGGTTTCAACATCATATCCTTCCTGGTGAGGATACTAGACTAGAATGTAGGACTCAAAATTCAAAATCAAATCACTCCTAATAAAAACACTACACTGAAGAATATATTGGAGTGAAGTCGTAACATCAGATGACTCCTGATGAAGACACTAGACTGGAGTGCACAAGGACTCAAGTTTTAACATCAGATCACTACTAATGAAGACACTAGACTGGAGTGCATAAGGACTCAAGTTTTAACATCAGATCACTACTAATGAAGACACTAGACTGGAGTGCACAAGGACTCAAGTTTTAACATCAGATCACTACTAATGAAGACACTAGACTGGAGTGCACAAGGACTCAAGTTTTAACATCAGATCACTACTAATGAAGACACTAGACTGGAGTGCACAAGGACTCAAGTTTTAACATCAGATCACTACTAATGAAGACACTAGACTGGAGTGCACAAGGACTCAAGTTTTAACATCAGATCACTACTAATGAAGACACTAGACTGGAGTGCACAAGGACTCAAGTTTTAACATCAGATCACTACTAATGAAGACACAAGACTGGAGTGCACAAGGACTCAAGTTTTAACATCAGATGACTCCAGATGAAGACACTAGACTGGAGTGCATAAGGACTCAGGTTTTAACATCAGATCACTACTAATGAAGACACTAGACTGGAGTGCACAAGGACTCAAGTTAT